TCTCTTCACATATATATATATATATATATATATATATATATTATAGCTATTTACCAAAAAAATTAGCTTGTGTAAGCTCAGACATTTCCCTTTCTGTTCACCAAAAAATATTTAGCCTTGTTTAGTAAGCATCTTTCATCATATATACTGGAGCATCTTACTGTGATCGGTGGATCATCGAACCTCTTCTGTTAACATATTTATGTCAGATATCATTGGGCACCTGACGATTTTATGTTTGCAGGATTAATGTGGTACAGGGTGAGTATTTCATCGCATTTTGGATTGGAGGAAAACAGGTTCAATGCAATCATATTCACTCCTTATGCTGCCTAGTGATGTTTTCCTTTGCTCAGGTGCACCATTTTTCTTCACTCGTGTAGAATAAACCATCTGGTTTCTCTTTTTCATGGATAGATAACTTGGCGTTGCCAAGGGAAAAAAAGAGCACTTTCACTTAATGGTCCGAGTTTGTTATATTTGTTATAGTCTTATAGAGTTTTCAAGCGCATAGGTCTCTAGGTATGAGGCTTACTAGAGAGTGATGTGTTGAATACAAGTAGGGATAAATTTGTAATTTAACATAGTGAAAGGGATAGTATATTGGTCATAGGTAAGTTTTCGAAAATGTGCTGTAGTTCACAGAAGAAAACACATTTGGAGAAGTATCAAATTTTAGTTTGTAAAGTTTATTTTTCCTCTAGTGTTGGTGGAATTTAATTATCATTCACTGGTGTTGTTTTTTCGTTTAAAAAGTTTGTCATTTAGAATTATTGTAGTCAATCTCGTTTGTGTAAACCAAAAAAAAAAAGAATATAATAGTCAATCTCATTTGTCCATACCAATAAAAAAAAATAATTAATCTCAATTGATAATATGACTATAATGTTGTGGTATAATGATAGTTTTGCACAAACAATGATTAAAATTAAAATTTTAAATTTCTAAATTTATAGCATTTATTTTGTAACGACCCGCCCTGGCCATTACACTGTGGAATAACACAACACCTTGCTGAAATATATACTAAAATAGTATAATAAGAATATTTACAACACAAGTTGCTAAAAAAGCAAAAAAAAAAATTCAATTATACACAACCAAGTATGCTACTATAAGGTAGCCCACAAAAGAAATATTCACTCCACGCACCTCCTGTGGCCTCTAACAATTATCTCCCAGCCTATCCCTACCCTGTTCCCATACATCGTATGATTATCGCAGTCCAAACCATATGAAAACATGCAAGGGTAAACTAGAGAAAATAAAGAACTCATAATAATTAAATATGCAACACAATAACTGTATAATCATCTTCATATCCAACACAAGTAACAAACAACACATATACCACACATCTCAACATCATTTCAGCTTAATTCCAATACATTAAACGCTGATCAACACATTATCAACACATATGTTTAAAACATGTAACAGAAACCACTATACAACTCATCATAATAGTCACCATATTCAGCACAACAACGAATAACACATGTATTACATACCTCTCAACAACTCATATTTAACAACTTACAACATAGGTAATCTAGCAACGCTATCAACATCATCATACTTGTTCAACATACAACGCATAATACTAAAACATGAATTTAAAAGCAAATTACAACACAATGTCACTACCAACAATAACTGTTCATTCATCATGCAACACACAACACATAGACAACATACATCTTAATAGCACCTTCACAACACATCAACTCATACAACTCATAGCATCACAATATCAATTTATCAACACATACAACTTATATCATCACAATATCAACTCATCAACATATACAACTTATATCATCACAATATCAACTCATCAACACATATGCGTCATCACACATTTCAACTTCGAGATCTCCTACAACACAGGGTGAGCAGCTTAAGTGGCTAGGTTCTACCGAACTTACAACACAGAACCTTTTTGGGCTTGCTAGGTAAACAATAAATTTTGATAAAAATCCACAACACAATAACGGTTTCTCAGACTTTGCCACTTAAACAAGGAAGTATAATACTATGTCAGGATAAGACAACTGGGTTTAGGCCTACCACGACATTAGCTGACTCAACTAAGCCATAATGGGATTAGCCTACTGACTATCCTTCAAATACTACAACCCTCTGATACTCGATTAGGAACTAAGTTCCTGACTTCGTAATTTACTCAATTTGGTTGCTTGTAATCGGTATAACTCGACCTGACCCCTATACTGTGGTCACTTCATACACATGTGCCTCGACCTTACCTACACACGGAATCAACTAAGTCTTAGAGGAGAACAACACATCATCCACTCCAAGAGACAACTTTTCAATGAGGATTTTTCAACAAATTGGACTCTTAGAGTACCACAACTATCTCAATCCACACAATGGGATGAGCAACTTCGAAAACATCTCCTCTAGTCCTGGTGATAAACAACTCATCATCATAGCACAATTAACATAGTTTTCAACTCATCATCTCAATCAACTCAACTATCAACTTAAACAACACAGTCAACTCACAACTTTAACAACACAATTTATCAACACAACAACTCATTCAACTCATATAACATCTCTGCACAACTATACAATTAGGGTTTAGCATGCAACTCTCAACTCGCAATTTACAACTCAACCATCGTAAAGTAATATCTTTTCAACACATAGTACAACATACAACTTTATAACAATATACAACTCTCATCTAACAACTTAGCAACATAGTCTACTAATTAATAACTTTTGTATAAATCTCAACACATCTACACACTTCGCATCATGTTTCTCACAACTCACAACATTATCATCATGCTCTTCATAACTCTCAACTATTTCATCTCATCACATTTCACAACATATAAATAATCAACACATAACATAAATAAACTTTAATAACATACCACATATTCAACATATTTTTATTTAGTACAAGAACTCACTCAACATATAACTCTTCAACTCATTTAAGACATCTACACAATTACACCACTTCACAACTCAATTACAACATGCATCTCACATCTCACTACTAAGTATCCTCATTATGCTACACAACATCATCTCTCAACACCATACACATCAACCCATGTTATGCAATCATCTCTAACTACTTACAACATTCACAACACAGCATATCTACTCATATATCTCGTTTACATCTCATCTTCATCACAAAAGCATCACTAACAACATCATAATCAATATTTTATCATTTTATATTATCACACAACATTTTCATCACATAATACAACTCATACTATATATTTACAACTCATTTATCATGCCAACTTACACACACAAACAACATAAATCAACCTAAGCACTCAAAACAACTTTTAACTTAACTAATTAATCACTTATTGTGAAATGGCAGCCGTCACATAAAATAGCATGAATGAAGTTATACTACTCCTATCATTCTCGTTCTTAACTGAAATGAAAGATAAAAAGATTTCTTATAACTCTCATGAAGACATCCGGTCCTAATTCCATCATCTATTTTGTAAAAAAATTAAAAATCGCAACAGCTACAACCAATGCTGACAGCTTGACCCTTGTTCACTAAAGTCCTAATTCTATTATCTACTTTGTTAAAAACTTTAAAAATTGCAGCAACTACAACCAATACTAACAGCTTGACCCCTGTTCACTAAAACAGACATATCTGGAGTTCCAGACCTCCTTTTTGGGTGATTCCGGTGCCATTGGAAAGTTAACATCCAAGGCTACAACTTTCATGAATATTCTAAGACCAAATTTGGTCATCTAGCCCTAACACTGCAACACTCAATTCAGCGCTCCAGATTAAATTTTCTGCCCTTCCATGGCTTCCCACACGTTTTTCACCCCTAAATCCATCAAAACTTACAACCCGTAGGGACCCAACACCTGCACATACAAGAAAATAATCTTACCATCAACATGCAACTCAGAAAACATCACAAACCCCACATGCAACAAGAAATCTGACCCAATCCATTACATTCTTTAAACAACTCAAAACCCCTCTTTCTAATTCCACACACTTCGATTAATCAAGATGCAACCAGCAATTTGTTGCAACAATACAACATTTTGTCTCAAAATCAACAAATTCTAGCTTCCCTTACCTTGGAGGGAGAAAATTTCTGGTTCCGAGCTCCCGAGAAAAAGAAGAAGAGAAATGAAATTACTTCGGGAAAGAAGACTAGCTTTGTTGCTCTCCTTGATTCTCAACAACTCCACCTTCTAAATTAAACTCCAATACTTAGGTTTCAGCCATTAAAGGAATGAAAAAAAAGTGATGGAAGGAAGAAAGGGAAAATGAGAAAGAGAGGGTTTGTGGGTGCAGAGGGGGTGCGGGTCTCACATATTTAATCAAATTAACATGCTACGGGTATGATAGTTACTATAATTGTTTAAATTGTCAATTTTATTTGAAGGTTTATTAAATCCTATGTATTATCGAACCTATTCTGTATTTGATTCCTGTTGATTCACTGGATTTCTGTGAATTTTATGCTTCGTGGTTAGTACGGGTTTGAAGTACGCGAATCGCAACAAAAGAGAAACGATAAGGAGGCGTTCTGATAAGGTATATCATGTCAAAAATCGAGGGATTATAAAGGCATTGTACAATTTCATTTCGTAATTGCCAAGCAATTGTCCAATAAATTGTACTGATAGTACATAAGGTCAACCATTTCAGTAAGTTTCTAGTTTTTTTAATTGTACCGGGAGGACCCTATCGGTCACGTTGACCAACACGTGCCGTTCCGTCAGACACCCATGCGAACTGGACCATACCCAAGGCTGACGTTAGCATCGGCTCGGCTTATAGCCGAAGGCCGAGATTTGTCAACTGGCGCATAACGGCTCGGCTGAAGGCCGATGCAAGCAGCATGATGCATTCCCGCATACTATGTATCGGCTCGGCCCAATGCCGATCCGATAGGATTACCAAGTAAACGTCTACCGGCATTAGCCTGTCGGCTCGGCAATGTGCCGATAGGTTAAACAGGTTATAGTACAAATCATAGTTAACAAGGATAAGTGCGTAATTAAGACATGATTAGCTGATTAGCATCATATTACCTAATTTGGTAAAGATTAGAACAAGCCCATCACGTTCAGGCCCATGTCAGGTATTATAAATAGGTCACACGTAACGAGGTACGTCACTGTTCATTAATTACCCTAGAATATCGTGCATATCCTAACTTGAGCGTCAGAGTACCTTTTGCAGGTACCTCCCCCCTCTGAAGAGTCCGTTTAAAGCATCTGTTCAGCCCTTCTCACTAAGAAGACTACGAGTGTACCCTCAGGCAGGTACATTTTGGCGCCCACCGTGGGGCCGAACCGAAAGCATTGCAGAAACATCGAAAGTTTACGAGTAAAAGAATCATGGTAAAGACAAGGAATACTAATTTTGAAGGGCAACAGTCCGAAGAGGAGCATCAGTCCGGGGCCGAGACGGTTGAGGAGACAAACTTGACCGATATGGTACGCTAGATGAAGGAAGAGATGATCGCCATGAAACAGCAGCAAGAGAGAGATGCCGCCGAGATGGCCGCATTGAGAGAAGAGAATGCTGCTTTAAAAAATCAATACCGAGACCCCACATGGAAACCATCTGAGACGCCCCACACTCAGGGATCGTTCCACTCGCACAGCCATCATACCTCCATTCCTCACACTTCTGTCGCTACCCCAGGCATTCATGTTTCGGTCGGCCGACC